TCGTCAATCTTGTCGGTGCTGTCGAGACTGTCCGGTGAGTTAGGGAACGGGGACTCGGGGGAGTCTAAAGCGGTCTCGAGAGCGGAGCGGTATCCGTCCCAGTTGGTGAATAGCCTCTTAGGGGGCGCGGGGGCGTCTAGTGGGTCTTGGGGACCTAGAACTAGAGACACCGGTCTGTGATCTGACCCCAGGTCGTCGAGCGTTTCGATCGAGCTGAGGCGAAGCGACACGTTTTTAAGGATCGCGAAGTCCAGGACGTCGGGTCGGTTTTGTACATTGTCTGGGTAGTGGGTGGGCGCGTAGGGACATATGACATCATAGCCAAGCTCCTCGGTTATGTGTAGTAATCTGCGGCCAGAGGTGGTGGTGGTCTCGCATGTCCAGTCGGTGTGTTTGGAGTTAAAGTCACCGAACATTATGACTGATGTACCTAATGAAGTGAGTGTTTCGAAGTCTGCGCGGTGAGGGTGTGTACCTGATCTAATGTAGACTGAGGCGATGATTAAGGACTGGTGTCCTGTCATCGCCAGCCTACAGATGGTGGCTTCCATGTTTGTGAGCGCGGGAGTGGGTATAGGTGTGCAGTGTAGGTTGCGTCTATAGTAAATTGCGGTGCCGCCGCGCGCGTTGGCACCGTCGTTCCGGATTAATTTATACTTAGGGATCGACAGCCCCTTCATTTGAGTTGGTTTGAGCCAAGTCTCCTGAAGGAGCAGAAAGTCGGGTTCCCTATCTTGCAAAAATAATTTAATTTTGTTGAGGTTGGATTTTAAGCTGCGCGTATTAAATGACACAAGCGAAGCGCCTTTCGGCTTGGTACGCCCGGGGTTCAGTTGTGTGATTGTTATGTTAGTGTTTTGCGCGGTCATAATTTAAACAACAGTGGTGTTTGTTTGAGTTATCACCGCGTGTTTTGTGTATAGTGTTTTTGTTTGTGTTCGGAGTCTGGTTATTTTCCAGTGTTATAATGAAAAAATTAATCGAACGCGGCAACGAGTTCGGGGTGTTCGGCTATAGCTATAGCCTTTTCAAGTGGTGTTTTAGCTAGCCGGAGCTTCGCGGCGAGAGTGTGGATCTCGGCGATATTCACCCTCTTGAGCGAGGAGCGAATAAGCGCCATGTCCTCGGCCAGAGAAACGTCTTGGGCTGGCTTAGCTTGTGTTGTTGGTGTGGTGTGTTGTGGTGGGTGTGGTTTTGGGCGAGCCCTGGCTGGTCCCCAGGCTGTCGGGGGCGCCGGGCTGCGAGGGGCGGCCGCCTTGGGTAGCCCCGGGAAGTTTGTGGTGGTGTTAGGTGGTGGTGGTGGGTGTGTTTTTGTAGCCGTGGTTGGCTTTGTGTGAGTGTGAGTGTTGGGCCTGGGGCGTGGGGCCCGCGGGCAACCCCTGTAATTGGCCGGGTGGCCTTCTTGGCCACACAGCACGCATGCGGGTGCCCCGGGTGCGTCACGAGTGCGGGTGCACTCCTTAGTGAGGTGGGGTACGAGGCACTTGACGCACCTCGGGGCCGCCGAGCAGTTGGCTGCTGCGTGGCCATATAATTGGCACCTGTGGCATTGCCCAGGGGTGCCTCGCCGGTGTGGGGCCTCGACTTTGATATTGTCGAGGCCACAGACTGTGATGGGACCTTTGAAAATGTCCCTAGCTGCCGGGACCGAGGTCAAAATGACAAGAGCCAACGGGTATTGCTTCCCAGTCCGGCTGTGCAACTTGTGCACTGCCTCGGCTGGGAAGCCTTTATCGGTTAAGTCGTTAAGAATGAGCTCGTTGGAGAGCTCGAAGGGGACTCCTCTGAGTACCGCGCGGACTTTGCGCTCCTCGGGGAGGGCGTATGTGTGGTAAGGGATTGTGTGAGTGGTTAGTAGCCTTGTGAGGCTCCTAAATGTGTCGATTGTGGGTGTGGTGATTTTGATGGCGTGACCAGTGTTCGACGCCTGTGTGTAGTGAATGCTGTGTGTTTTGCAAAGGTCCGCGACCTTTGCCCATTGCGCCTTATCGCGCAGGAAGACGGGCGGCGGCGGCTTTGCCTTGATAGGTGCGGCGGTGCACCTAGTGTGTTGTTTTGTGGTGTGTGTAGTGTGGGGTTGTGCGGTCGGTTGGGCGACCGTGAGAGGGGTGAGAGGGCTGAGAGGGACAGAGGGCGCCGTTGGAGACGCGGTGTCTGCGCGGCGCTTGGAGCGCCGCTTCTTCTTGCTCACCACAGTGGTGAACACGGAGTCGTCTGACGCCGACACAATGGTCGAGTCAGAGTCGCAGGTCGAGACCGGGCTCGAGGCGGGGCGCTTGCCCGCGCTCGAGGGCCCGGGGAGGCAGGGGGTGTCGGGGCGGGGGGGGTTCGGGGGAGGGGCTGGCGGGCGAGTCGCGCATGGGGCGCGCTCTCGCGACGAGCTCCCTGATGGCGGCCTCATCCAGGGTGAGGCCGAGGGCGGAGAAGAGGGACAGTACCTGTTGTGTAATGTCCATTTTGTGATGTGTTAGTGTGTAGGTCTGTGTAGGTTGTTGTGTGATGTGTGTGTAGGTGTGCCCTGACTGTGGCGTGAAGCCGCAGGTCCTAACTCCCTATACGACAGCGGTGGACTCCCCTGCCCGCGGCAGGGGGTCGGTTGAGGCTGAAAGAGATGTGTTCCGATATTCCTAGCGAATATGGGAACAACCGTCACCCTTGGGAAGGCCCAAGTGCAAATGGGATCGGGTCTTCCGGTTTCCGAGCTCAGGAGAGCTCGAGACGTACCGGGGCTACGCCGACCAGTTTCGTTAACACCGCTAGGTATCCACTGGTCCAATCTTGAGTCTCACGAATGAGTGCAGGCGCGTCGAGTCGACTCGAAGCAGGCAGCTGTGCGGCGGGGCGCACGGAGCAGGAGGCGGCGGTGCGACGTGGCGCACGGTCCGCGGTCGGAGCGAGAATGTGTCCAGCAAAATTCAAAGTAAATAATGTAGATTTTTATAGGTCAATCACCCCTTTCATCACCCTACGCCTATAAGTATTGCGATGTTGTAGCTAAGAACCAAGTTCCCATCTACTTCTATATGGGAATTCATTATATTCGATTTAGCTATTAGGGCACGGAAGCGCAACAAACAAACTCACTTTCGCATCTATAATATTATATTTTACTTACTAGTGATCCACCCGGGCATTGTACGGGCGAAATTTATTTATCGGGATAAAATATAGCCTATGTCACTCGGACAAAATGTATTTAAATAAAGAAAAATGTTATAATAAATAATGTAGCTACCTTATGATGAATTAATATTTGAAACCGGTTCAGTAGTTTGACAGATTATTTGTTACAAACATACAAATCTTGCCTCTTTATAATATTAGTATAGATAGTTAGGATAAGATAAGTATTTAATTGATGAAAAAGATTTAAAAATAAAGTAAGTAATAGGTTTATTTCATTATATTTGTAAAAGTTACTTAGCATTTGTGCTTAACAGTGATACGTTATTCGGTATTTTTAAACAAAAAAAAATGTAAAATAATTGCCATGATTGCACTACTGGGAGTACTCTTCATTCGAGCTTTACACTACCAATAAAAAAGGGTTGATCACAAAGTCTTCGACCTGTTAAATGTGAACGCTTTAAAAGAAAACTACAAAGAGTTTAGAGATAAACTTTGCTTTGGTGATTGTATAATTATTTAATTTAGTGATCTATGGCAGTTGCCACCTTTGTCCAAAACAACAGACGGGAATTACTGCTTTCTTCAACCTGCGACATAAACGTCATGGATTGGTATTGTATTTAAGGTGATTAAAAACATTTGAAGTTAACTTCTGGCATCCACATATTGGGTTTCTGTGAATTATGTAGGTATATCAAATTATGAGACTAGGGACTGACACTGAATTTGTGTATATCACAATCTTAGACGTCCGGCATTGATATGACAATGCAACCACTGCCAATTTTAAATAGTCGACGAATAAAAGTAAATGAATTTTATATTTACTGCTAAACTATTAAAAAAAACATAAACAAAAGATGACTTTTTGAGTAAGTGCTAGTTTACTATAAAGTTTACATACATTAGAGATATTTATGTAACGACTTGATTTAACTTCACACATTTTTGCGAAAATTGAGGCCCATCTGTAGCCTTGACCCCGCGGGTAAAGTCTTTGTATGTCTTAATAAATCAATCTTTTTGACCGACGCAAGGTACTTAATAATTCCCGCGATATTAATTCCACTTTCGGGACCCACTGTTGAAAAATATTATGTATTCTTGAATATCTAATGGGTCCCGACTGTTAAAGTAGCTTTGTTCCTTATTAACAGAATTATAGACTACTGGACTTGTTTTTTTCTTTTCAGTTTTTATTTGAAGTATAATTAAGCAGTCGGGTTTTTTGATTTTTTAAATTTACTTTTTTTTTATTGCTTTTGTTTAGTGTAATCCTGTTATTTAAGGCTAATGAAATGTTTTATTCTTTCTTTTACATCCAGACAGACTGGCAGACCTGTAAGCGCTTGTTAATGAGACAGTGTTTCGCCGAGTCTACGAATAAGTAGGGTTTTACGTGGTGTCTACAAGGTCATCAGTTAAGTATGGGATATGAAGGTTTGTTAACGACACCAGCGCTAGGGGATCAGTTCATTTAAACCGTGCTCGTGAACAAACTTAACCGGCATCGGCCCGGGCAAAAACCGGGTAGAAATCATCTCATTAACAAGCGCCCTACGGGATTCATATAATGGTGTCAATTCTGGCTTGATTCTCTAAACCTAAACTTAAATTTGACATCAGTGTATCCTTGTCATACTGTATAAAGAATGAAAAGGAGAGGCTGTCGTTAAATTTAGTTTAAGTTTAGAGAATCATGTCAGAATCGACACCAATACCATATTAAAAAGATGATAGATAAAGTGCCCTTGAACTTGTGTACCGTGTTATTATTCGGTGCTTTTAAACACTAGGAACCAACGTTTATGTCGCTAACCCTGCAGAAATATAATACTTAAGCACGATTAATTAAAGAGTTCGTTTGTCAGTTAATGGTGGACAGCTTGGGGATTATGTTGATGTCTCCCCTGGCGGTGCTGGCCGCATGGCTGTCGGGCCGCACGCTTGCCGGCCTGATGCGCCAGGATAACCACGCGGCTCCCTGGCCCCTGGCGTCAACGTTTGTGCTAGCCTGCATGACACTTGTAAGTGAGACTATTCCTCCACACCATGCTGTCTCCCTTGGCGGTGCTGGCCTGGCCGCCCCCTGGCCCCTGGAGTCGTCGTTCATGCTGGCCTGTATAACGCTTGTAAATGAGATCATTTATTCACACTTTTCTGTCTTCCCTGGCGGTGACGGCCTGATGTGGCAGGATAACCACGCCCCCCCGGGCACCTGGCGTCGACGTTTGTGCTAGCCTGCATGACACTCGTGAGTGAGACTATTCCTCCACATGACGCTGGGTGGTGCCAGCCTGATGCGCCAGGACAACCACGCGACTCCCTGGCCCCTGGCGTCAACGTTTGTGCTAGCCTGCATGACACTTGTAAGTGAGACTATTCCTCCACACCATGCTGTCTCCCTTGGCGGTGCTGGCCTGATACGCCTGGACAACCAAGCCGCCCCCTGGCCCCTGGCGTCGTCGTTCATGCTGGCCTGCATAACGCTTGTAAATGAGATCATTTATTCAAACCATGCTGTCTTCCCTGGGGGTGCCGGCCTGATGTGGCAGGATAACCACGCCCCTCCTGGCGCCTAGCGTCGACGTTTGTGCTAGCCGCATGACACTCGTGAGTGAGACTATTCCTCCACATGATGCTGGGTGGTGCCAGCCTGATGTGCCAGGACAACCACGCGGCCCCCTGCCCCTGGTGTCGTTGTTCGTGCTGGCCTGCATGACGCTTGTAAATGAGATCATTTATTCACACCATGCTGTCTTCCCTGGCAGTGCCGGCCTAATGTGGCAGGATAACCACGCCCCCTGGCGCCTAGCGTCGACGTTTGTGCTAGCCGCATGACGCTTGCAAGTGAGATTATTCCTTCATACTATGCTATCTACTCTGGTGGTACCCTCCTTATGCGCCAGCATAACCATACCATAATATTTTTAGTACTTAATCCTTACTCCACCGGTCATGGCTCTTTTATCGACAGGCGAAGTTTTACTTATATTATTGCCAATGCTTCCGTGTCCTGTTGAATGATTTCCTTTTGCACACTGTACTGCTGTACCAGAGTTCTGCTTGGCTGAAGAGTCTTTAATAAACAAAAATCTAGATCTTTGGAACCATGGCATAGCTTAGCAGTCTAAAATGGTAAATGACGTGGACTCTCTTTGTATTTTATGTTATTAATGGAATTGCTACCTTGTACCTTGTTTTTAAAAGGCCCCGATAATTTGACACTGTTGCAAGCGCCATGATCACGGAATAACTGAAGTAATTCCTAGTAGGAAGGATGTTTTTGGCAAAAATATAGGTCTACCCTCCGACAAAGTCTGCGCTTAATGCCCGTACCAGTTTGTGTTAGTACTATATCCTGGAAACTGTTCTCAACACACGCCATCAACAGTGGTCTGATCGCGACACGATACTTTGTGGATTATTCCGGTTCTTCCACATACGAAGCAATCTCGTTAATAACATAAATTCCTATAGTGTTAGTGACTATGGAAGTTTTCTGGAAACTGCTGGGGCGCAGCAGGTCTTCCCTAGGGATGGAATATGGAGATTTGGCCATGACCCACCACGCAGGCCCAGTGCGGATTGGCGGGTGCTAACGACTTCGGATGCAGCCGGGACCAACGGCTGAATGTGCCTTCCGAAGCACTGAGGAACTCGAGATAAAAGATTTTCGGTCACCCATCCAATGACCGACTACTGCGAAAGTTGCTTAACTTTAACGATTTCAGCGAAACGAGCTAACCACCCTTCCCGTCGAGCTCCTCGATATAGTCCATGTATTTGTCCTCAGGTGTGCTATTACTGCTGGATAGTGTCTGCGGCGACGCGGCATGCGCTCGGCTGGTGGGTCTGGTACCGGTCGCAGTACGAGGTTAGGCTGCAACTGCTGGACACTGAGGACTAGACATTCCATCCCACTAACCCTTGTTACTTAACCTCAGAAAGTGTTTACATGGCTTTTGGTAATACCGACCTGTAAAATATATGTCGCACGTCACAAACAATAGGGTATTAAGTCGGCAAAACCATTTATTTATTTATTTGCGTTTAGAAAACTACATATTTTTCTCTATAAACTAGTAAGATAATTGTATTTTAATTCAAAATAGTTTTTGAATTATAGCAACACATGTCGTCAATAACTAGGCAAAATTTTTGATTGTGAGTATTCTAAACAGTATTATGTTAAGTCACATAAAAGTACTTTTAAAATAAGAACTACTATTGATACATTAACTAAACTTACTCAATACAAAGAAGGATCATGTACGTTTAAATCAAGGTATCATTTTAAACATTTGAACAAGTAGTTCCGCTTCTATGATTTTTTAAACTTCAAAACGCGATATCTCAAAACACTGTTTTTGAAGATAATACCTTTTTGTTTGTGACATGCGATATATTTCTTTGTCGGAGTAGATACTACTCAAGGTCGCGGTAACTTCTGGAGCAAAACCACAGATAAATAACTTGCGCAGTAGACATTTTTGCATGTAGAATTGCTACTGCGCATAGGGTTACCATATCTCAGGATTTGTCCTGAGATTTCAGGATTTTTGGACTCTTCTCAGGATTGCGGCTGGATTTTGCAAATCTCATAAAATCTCAGGATTTTTTGAATTTCCAATAAAATACAGCTTACGTTTTAAAGATCTCTTTAATAAAAAGTTATACAAACTAAAAATAATCTTCTATTGGTAATAATTGCACAATTAAAATCAGTACTTTATTATCCAAGACGGTACTTAATCAGTTTATCATACTTAATATCTGAAGATACATTTTTAATTAAGGTTTTTTCTTTAATTATGGATTCATATAATGCCCCACATGTTAAGCCCTTCAAATTATATTGATTTAAAAGTATATGCACAGTATAAATGATAATGTTACGAATTTTTTAAATTGTTAAGTATGTTTGAGAGAAAATTCTCAAACTGTAAAAAATCTCAGGATATTTCAATGGAAATCAAACCTTTTCTCCGGACTTTTGATTTTATCATCTGGTAACTCTAACTACGCAGGCTTCCATGTCTTAAGAAGTTTGCCGGGATTGATATTAGAGAATAAACTCTTAACTCCTAGTAAACGCGATGTAAATAATTAAATGTACCACTTTGACGTATTTAGTAGATACCAACCTACCTTTAAGAGCAGTAACATTCTTATTACTGTATGCCTAATCGCTTTAGTTTATGATTATCTAAGTGATAAACAAAGGAGACCCGGCACTTTTCATAGAAAAAATGCTAAACTTGTATACAGTTGAATTTGGTCTCAAAATAAAGCCAAAATTATTTTTTACATAAAACTACTTTTGTCTTATTTTTAATGAATCGTGGAAAGAAGTTATTTAATGATTAATATTTTTTGATAAAGAAACCCTTTTGATGAAAAACCTACGTATTTGACATTGACAGCTAGCTGCTGATGACAAATATTGCCAGACTACGTTACCCAATTATGAAACACAGATAAAAAAATTAAAAAAGTATACAACTTTGGCACAAAATGCCGGGTGTCCTTTGAACCTTGTTCAACAAGTCTCACTAATCATATTTGTTTGCTTCAGTCTTATCACATAGACATATTTAGTTTGTCAGGATGTTGTTAATTTCAATTCAATCTGAATGCTCGGATGTTAAATAAGGTGATATATTCTATTTCTAAGCACCAGTCTCCTTATTTACAAACACTTGGAAAGGGATGCGGATTAACAAAGACAGACCGTAGCTTTCGATCCATGATCCGAGTCTGTGTTTGAATGTTCTCAAATGAATGACACCGAGAATATATGTACTATAATGCGATTCAAATAAGAATAGGAAAGCCAATGACCTCCATCTGTCAAATGTCGCCTGAAAAGTACGGTTTGCAAAAAAATCTCGGAACACTTTTTTAGCACTCAGCTGATTCTAGAATAAAAACCAAACATTTTTAAACAAACAATAACAAATGTTGATGATTAATATTAGTTGCTTTTTCTTTCATTTATTTAGCTTTGGCTATGAATGGTTGATAACCTAAATCGTCAACCAAATGTCACTTTATGTTGCGTTCAAAAACTCGATTTAAAACTTTCTTTTACATATAGGATGCATGTTCGTATGTGACCTGCATGATTAATCATAACTTCTCCGGCGGTAATGCAGAGTTGAGCGAAATTGAAGAGCTAGCTAGATTCTTATTAATGTTTTTTTTTCACACAGTCGTAATAAAGAAATAGTATTAAACATATATTGTGTTCTTTCTCAACCTTAGTAAATTAATTTTATTAATAAATCTGATGTTTTGTCTCACTTAATCTAGTAAATAAATTTCATTAAATAGCATAATTTTTTGCTCACTCTACCTATTTGATTTGATTGACAGCTATGACGTCAAAATATGGCGCCCAGTCGATCCTATTCTTAGTTGAATCGCATTATACACTGTTTTATGTGGATTCTTTGATCCACATGTTATGAACTTTCTTCAACTAATTTCAATTTCAAGTCTAATAAATTTTTCCTTAGATTTCAACATCTAGATTAAAAATATAAAGTTTTTAATCATTTTTCGACTATAGACGTCGCGTTGACTTACAAATAACTATTTATCATTTGTGACGAGTGTAATGAGAAAAAGTTCAAAGATCTTTGTAATAAACGCCTTGTTTTGAGACTCGCTTCTTTTATTTCTGTATTCTGGAGGTGTTTGACACTGCAAGTCTCAATGGAACCTTGGCGTGGCTAAAAATAAATGACAAATCGCTGTGTTTGTCATTTCTTTTACTGGCAGTAATTTATTTTGTTTGTTGTAAAAACTTGCTGCAATAGTGGAGGATGTACTTATAGGTACAGATATGGGCACATATTTTCTCAATACATTATTTATGAATCTTAACGGCGGGTACACATTGGGCGCTCGGCATTGCGTTGAGCGCGCGTTGATTGCATACACACGCCGCGATCGGCTGGGCGTTCGGCGAGCGTTTGGTAGGGTAGCGTCTGGCAGTCCGAAAATGGATACCGAAGTGATTACTTGTGTGTGGCTCCTCTACCGTCGTAGTTTTTTTTTTCTCCAAATTATCTTCGGGATTACAAAAAAATTCAACCATCTCCTCCCAATTACGTATTTTTAGCGTCTTATTTTTTTTATAATCGGGACATTTCATGTCCTAAATAGCTGGTCGCTTTTGGATTTCATCAATAAAGAAATCTGTGTCAAAATGTTCGGTGTCCATTTTTCCGTTGAACTGACGTCTACACTACACCAAAGCGCGCGTTCAAATGTACAACAAAATGGCGGCCCAAGTATCTCGAAGCGCGCAGCAAACGCCCGCGCAACGCGCGATCATACGTAAAATATGAGAACGCGCGTTTGAAGCACGCTTGACCAGAATCGTGCGCTTGCATGTGTACACTTCAATAGAACTCCTGGTTCTCGAAACGCGCGTTAGCAAAACGCGCGTTGGAAAACGCTTAATGTGTACACCACTTAAATCAAATGGTATTAAATTCTTGAAAGTTTTAGGTAAGTTTACCTGTCGTAGCCTGAACATGAACATACCTAAGTCAGAGGTCGCGTAGAAACATTGAGTTGGGTATTCATTCAATTTACAATCGTGTTTCAATTCTGACCTCGCCCGACTTCCATATCATAAACCAGATATTATTTTAACTTTTTAGTTTCATTTTCTGTTTATTAATGTGAATGAATACCCAACTCACTTTTTCTCCTACTTGTTTTATTTTTTGTTTCAAGAAATGTAATTCATCCATTTTAGTGAAAATGACATCCTCGAAGTAAACAATTAACAAAAATGCTCATGAAATAAAAACGGCTAGGTCAAACAATTTATTTTATGGGACCAAACGGCAAATATTTTCCATCGAACAAAAAATATATCACTCCAATCGGATATACACATGAATAAAGTATCGTATAAATTACATCGTCCTGAAACAAAAATACTTATGAAATTAAAACTACTGGACCAAACTAGATTAAAATTTTATGGGACCAAATGGCATCTGTTCCGCATCGAACAAAAAGAGAATCACGTAAATCTAGGAGAAATCAATGTACATACATACTTAAGAAAAAAAAAATATGGGTGCGTGTACTTAAGTACGCGCGTGAGAAGTTATACTTCTTTTTGGAATTATTAAAAAATAGTTTTTAATTGCATGCAGATAATTAATTACAATAAGATAATAAAAGGATTGGAAAAGGATAGTCAACGCAGTCAATAAAGTTCAGTTTTAATTTGAAAAATTTAATAAATAATCAAAATATTCAATTTAAATCACTACTGAATAAAATTTATTAGCACATATAAATTTCGCATTTGTATAACATTATAACACGTGTTAAGAATATAGAAACTAGAAACATGTGGATAAATATTATAAATATGAAAACAGTGATCAGAGGCGACGAGCGTCCCAACATGTGCGACTAAGAGATCCTATTACTATTTTGTTGGAGGCTTTTTTTTCGAGACTTACGAGTAATGTGCGGTTTAGCGGCCGACTTCATGGTGTTACTTTTCTGTTACAGTGTTGCGCGCGCATCTTAAAATTTCACTCTCATCATTTTTTAATAACGCGCCCGCGGCTAACTTCATTATGTTACTTTTGTGTTACAGTGATGCGCGCGCATCTTAAAATTTCACTCTCATATTTTTTTCATAACGCGGCTAAAGAAGTATAACTTCAAAAACATACCCACAGAATTGAGAACCTCCTCCTTAGTGAAGTCGCTTAAAAATCATTTTAATAATTCTACTTCCCTTCCATTACGAGGTTGAGAGGGGGTTAAATTATACAATAATGTGAGATATGGGTATCAGTACAAATATACCAAATTATAATACACTGTGGATTTTAAATTACCTGAGAAAATTTACTAGCCAATTCAGACAGCGATTTAAATTATATTTCCGCAAAAACCATAATTTTATTTCTTTTATTATTATTTTTTTTCGAATTCGACACCACTTTGGTTAGCGCGTCCAGTCTACGATTGCAGAAGTTAAGCAAATTTCCGTAAGGCTAAATGAATAGCCCAAACATTTTCTTTCTCGTAAATCCCTGAAAGACACGTTAAGCCGTTGCTCCCAACTAGATTTGGGTTATTAATCACTTAGCCAGCACTTCCGTACTTTGTTTTTTTCTGATTTATTCATTGATAGTGACCCGCCCTCGCTTCGCTTCAGCTGAGCTTCAAAAGAGCTGTAGTGTGGACTATAATTTATGTTCTCAGGCTTGTATTATACGCAATGTTTTTCTTTATATAATAGGGGTGATGACGGGGTACAGTAAACGAAATTCTATTTAGTCCGTCAGTTAGATGATCAAAAAATAATCGACACGTATTTTTCTTTGGGTAATCAACCAAAAAATGACAAAATTAAAGCGCGCCAAGTTTGGGAGTGACGTCACTTTTGAGTGAATTTTCACTTATAAGTGTACTCAAACGTGACGTCATGCGACTTTTCAAATCAATTTATCTCTGCAAGTTTTATATTATGTGAACAAAGAAAAAATACGTGTCCAATACTTTTTGATAATCTACCTGATAAATGAAGAAAAAAAAATTAGTCATCATCCCGATTACCTATATAAACCTTGCATGAAAATTTATTTAACTGATAGTGAAAATTTTGTTGTGTAGTTTAGGACCCGTTGTACCAAATGCACCTTTCTTGGTTGAACGCTATCTCAGGAACTTATGATTTAAAAAAAAGTGTGAGATAGTGTATTTATTGAGGAAGTCAAGGCTATATAATATTACGCTGCGACCAGTAGGAGCGGAGTATCGATGTAAAATAATGCAAAAATGGGTAAATATATTCCGTTGCGTGCGCTGCGTAAATGATTAAAGTTACAGAAAAATCATGTGCGACGGAATTGTACCTCTTTAGAAGATCTATAAAAAAGTTCACGAAAGCTTATGCCCATCTCTTAAGTTTTACTCATTATTTTACCTTATTCCTGAAATTAACGCGGGTTAAACCGGGGAACTTTATTATGACATAACTGTAATCATCATCATGATCATCACCAGCCTATTAATGTCCCCACTGCTGGGGCACAGGCCTTCCCTATGGATGGAATAGGGAGATTGGGCCATGACACACCACGCGGGCCCAGTGCGGATTGGCGGGTGCTAACGACTGCAGATGCAGCCGGGACCAACGGCTTAACGTGCCTTCCGAAGCACGGAGGAACTCGAGATAGAAGATTTTTGGTCACAATGCACGAAACTTTATTTATTTATTGACGTTTCGCAGCCTTTACAGGCTATTTGTGCATTAACCCGTAAAAAACTAGTTTTATTTAATGAGTGATGTGCGTGAAAACCTAAGAAACAATTACGATATAAATTATTTTCTGGTATTTTATTCACATTCACATTTTCATACGTAACCCCAACTTTTTAGAAAATACTCAGGAGGCAGGGGTGGCCAACCAGTCGATCGCGATCAACCGGTCGATCGCGACTATTAGTTCAGTCGATCGCGACTTTTAGTTCAGTCGATCGCGACTATTAGTTCAGTCGATCGTGGCAAGGCAAAAAATATAAATAAGTACACCACACTGTGCATCGTAATCACAAACTGCCGTACGCATGTTCTTTAGCCTATGAATTGGCTACAAAATTTTGCAGATACTCGTTTTCAAATGGAATACTTTTAATAATGATTCTGCGCAGTAATATGAGGAGCTCGATGGCGCATGTGGTTAGCGCGTTCGGCTGCGGTCGTTGATGTTAAGCAACTTTCGCAGTGGTCGGTCATTGGATGGGTGACCAAAAATTTATTATCTCGAGCTCCTCCGTGCTTCGGAAGGCACGTTAAGCCGTTGGTCCCGGCTGCATCTGCAGTCGTTAGCACCCACCAATCCGCACTGGGCCCGCGTGGTGGGTCATGGCCCAATCTCCCTATTCCATCCATAGTGAAGGCCTGTGCCCCAGCAGGACAGGGACATGAATAGGCTGATGATGATGATGATGAAGGTACTCGTTCACTTTTATGTTTGCCCTCTTAATAAAATAACAAAATACTACATAATTGTGTACTGAATTTTGCTGTTTCATTTGAGATTTCAAAAAGTATGTAATTGGTAGATCTTGCAGGGATTCAACGGTAAATAGTAGATCTTGGGTCTAATCAAGTCGGCCACCCCTGCTCTATATTTTCAATGTGTAAGATTTTTTTAAATGGTTCCAGTAGTTTCGGGGCCTATTCAATACAAACAAACAAACAAACATATAAACAAACAATCAAATCTTTCCTCATTATAATATTAGTATAGACTAAGCCCATTTTATTTTCTAAAGGCAGAGATTTTTAATTATGTGTGTTGACAAACGCTGAATGCCAAAATTTCCGGATCATAGATTCGAAACTGGTGTGTATTTAGAGCAAAAGGCAGAATCGCTTTATTGCAACGTTTGGTCAACAAACAATGCGGGAATTATAATGAAACACTCCCTAAATTCGCAGGATCCACACAGAACACGAGTCATTGCTCGCTGAAACGCAAACACAGCTTAATTGAGTAGGCAGGTACACATATAGTCGTCATCAGAAATATTACAATTGGAAATGTTATTTAAACGGTATAATCACAAAATACAAAGAGACAGGATACATTTCATCTCAGAAAAATATTAGTTTCCTGTGGGATTTTCATAAGCACTCAAACAAGTTCTTTCTTAATATTATAAGAAAATACGTGACTTAATAAAGTGTCTAAGAAAAAGTGTGAACTTGTGTGAACTCTGCTTTGAGTGGGCAGTCTATCCAAACATTGTGTGAGAGGGGTTATTGAAACAACTTTTGTCTCGATAAAATTGGTTTATTTTAGGATATTCACCGTTAATTTAAAATAATGTAATAAGTAAATATTCATTTGATATGCATGCAGAAAATATAAATTCAATCAAAATGGATTGCTAGCAAAGCTTATATATTTTTTTTTTAAATGCAAAGCTTCAATATTCGTTATAAGAACTATATAGTTAGTGATATTTTTTTACTAGGTTACTTTATACATAATCAAATAAATTGTAGAATATACGTAATTAACTATAGGTATATTCTACAATTTATTTGATTATAGATAGCGGCAAAGTTCTTGAGCAAAATAACAGACAAATGACGTGTTTGTATGTAGTATTGCTAAAGCGCAGGCTTCCCTCTCTATGCTTGTTGCTCAAGAATTTTGCCTGCGTGTATACCTAAATTGTGATGAATTTTAATATAAACTTATTTCTACGAAGTTCCATGCTTACATATAAAAAAGAACTTACAATCGAAAGTGTGTTCAGATAAATAAAAGTACATCTGATGTTCAACACTTTGCCTGAACTATTATGATGATAACTATAATAATTGTTTCTTTGATAACAGCTTTATTGAGTGTTTTTGCAATTACTCTTTACCAGCGCGGTTGGTAAACCATTCCAGCATCATTAGCCAAGGGAAATACTGGAAGCAAGGCTTCTACACGTCTCTGATATGAAGGTTGCCCAAAGTCTTTATGCATTGCGCCGCATTGGAGGCAGCGGAGCGTAGTACGACTCAGACTTTATTTCGATGTGAAGTTAGGAACGAGCGCAACTAAGTACAAGGTTCAGACCGTTGTCGCGCGTCTCGCTAAATTTCGTTAACTACTAACTTGCGCGAACTTCACAGCTGTTTAATCAAGTTTGAATCAAAATACAGTGTTTCTTAACCTGCGGTGCAATGCGTAATGACTTTATTCAAGTTTAAATGGGTTTGTACGGGGTTATTGCTTGAGAGAGCTGACGTCCTCCATCCACTGGGGCCAGGAGCGGATCTTATTGTACAATTTGCGGCCAGGGGACTCGGTGGCGATGAGCTGTTTGTGCCCTACCACGTGGTAATCGGCGGTTAGGTGGCCAGCGTCCACGCCGCACTTGAGGAGTGCCTTCACAGCATCCAACATTTCCGTTGTGGGTGTATCATCTGGAAAACATCACACCGTCAGATATTTGTATCCTTCTAAGTAACATTATAAATGAATATAAATATATCTATACAGCTCCGAATATGATTTTATCCCATTCGGTGTCGAGACCCTTGGTCCGTGGGGTCCTAAAGCTACGAGGTTTTTTAAGGAAATATCAAAAAGGTTAGTCGACATCACTGGAGACCGAAGAGCTGGCAGCTACCTCGGACAGCGAATTAGTCTAGCTGTTCAAAGGGGGAACGCTGCCAGTATCTTCGGAATCTTGCCTAAAGGGACTCCTTTTAGTAATATATTTTAGTTATTATATTATATTTTTTAAGGTTCATTGTTTCTGTATATATTAATGTACATATATTAATAAAGAAGAGATATTATAAATGTGAAAGTTTGTATGTTATATCTCAATCACGCAAAACAAAGTACTGAAAGGATTGACATGAAATTTGGTATAAGTTTACGATTTGGGGACAAAGGATACTTGTTATGCCGGAAAAATGCTAGGTTCCTTTGGGACTCTCGAAAAACTAAGTTAACAAGGGCGAATTTACGGGCGACCGCTAATGTTATTATTATTTGGAAAAAGATGTTTGGGACAATTCAGTCCTGAGGATGGATATTCGCGTTTGGACTTTATCACCACTTAGCATCAAGCGGGATAGAGTCGTTTGTCTACCTGGCTATAAAAAAAACGACGGGTTGCACTCCGGGAGTGCCGGCAGAACTGAAAACTTGAATATTAACGTTGTGCATTTTTGATATTTTGGAATGGTTAGGGAATAATTTTGCACGAATTGCTTTAATTATCAGTATAAAAGTACTATAATGTATACAATATTTATTTGTTGCGCTATCGTACACAAACATGACAATTTATCTTTATATATATAATTCTTCTGTGAGTGTGTATGTCACTGAACTTCTCTTAAACGACTGGACCGATTTTGATGAAATTTTTTGTGTGTGTTCAAGGGGATCTGAGAATGGTTTAGATTCACAATTTTGTCCGCTGACAACCCCTATTTTTTTAGGGCGGTACGAAGTTCGCTGGGTCAGCTAGTATTACATTAAAAAAGTATCTCTCAGAAAAATCAACTTACATGAATCACGTCTAAGCGCACTTAGCGACATCTATTGTAAAGAAATCAACTTGCATGAATCACATTTAAGCGCACCTAGCGACATCTATTGTAAAGAAATACATTTTTTTCGCAATAAAGCTGCCACGTGGACGTCCTAGATAGAGACTTATTATTATAATACGATAAAATAAAATATTACTATGTTTCATCCAATATATTGAAAGTCAACAACCTTTCCCATTTTATTGTGTGTCATGAAGCGATAAGCCCACGTTTTTAACCTGACGCAAGTTTAACATTTTTTACCCGTACAAAAAAAAAGTGTACAACGCCGCTAAAGAAGTTTTCACTTCAAAAATCCACATGAGTAAAGAGGGCTCAGAGACAAAGCTTCATACCATTGCGCGTTCGTGAGTGAGCACTAGCGACAGATAGACGGAGTAACATGAATTGTTGAAGTTATACTTCTTTAGGCGCGTTATGAAAAAATGATGAGAGTGAAATTTTAAGATGCGCGCGCATCACTGTAACACAAAAAATTAACAGCTGTTACTTTTGTGTTTACCGCACATTAAGAAAATCTACCAACAAAATAGAAATAGAATCTCTATTTTGTGGGTGCTTACGACTGCATTGTGAAGGCCTATCAAAAGTATTTATTAATCTGGAACAACGGAACCAAAGCGCGATTCAGGAGACTACAGCGCCATCTCTTGACCATTGGTGTAGTAGAACCAAAAACCACATCTTTATTTTTTGTAATAAAGTAACAAAAAGTATTTATTAATCTGGAACAACGGAACCAAAGCGCGATTCAGGAGACTACAGCGCCATCTCTTGACCATTGGTGTAGTAGAACCAAAAACCACATCTTTATTTTTTGTAATAAAGTAACAGTTATAGGTATTCATATTTATAATATTTATCCACATGTTTCTAGTTTGTATATTTGGAATACGTGTTCACATATGTTCTAATAAATTATATTCAGTAGCGATTTTAATTGAATATTTTGATTATTTATTTATTTTTTCAAATTAAAACTGAACTTTATTGACTGTGTCCTTTTCCAGACTTTTTATTAATTTATTGTAATTAATTATTTGCATGCAATTAAAAACTAATTTTAAACAATGCCAAAGAAGGATAACTTCTCACGCGCCTACATAAGTACACGCACCCATTTATTTTTCTTTAATTATTTAGGAGCCTTTATTCTTACAAGACCAGCTCATCGTAACCTAACCTAAATTATCCCATTTCCATAATATTGAGCAGTGGGAGCCACGAATCATTGGTGCATTATTGCGCTAACTAAATACTTTGCTTCATTCGATGTTGGGTTCGCTTCAATTACTAAAAATGCTCCTTACTCCCGAGTATTAATTTTGTACCTCTGCACCAATAAACCTATCACAACGATATGTTATACATTCATAAACGTATCTATTGGCGACAACAGACCAACAATGCTCACTCAAATACGCACACTGCATGTAGCTTTGACTTCTTTTCTCATATAGTCCTAAATGGGACCTGTAAGGTCTATTGAAATTCTAATGGTCAGTGCATTCGCCTCGATAACGAAGGGTGCGGGTTTCGAGTCCCGTCTACTGTCTGGTCCGCGTGGAATTTTTTCTAACAAAATTTTCTTTCATCATCATCATCAGCCTCTTAATGTCCCCACTGCTGGAGCACAGGCCTTCCCTATGGATGGAATAGAGAGATTGGGCCATGGCCCACCACGCGGGCCCAGTGCGGATGAATTTTTTGGTCACCCATCCAATGACCGACCACTGTGAAAGTTGCTTAACTACAACGATCGTAGCCGAACGCGCTAACCACCTGCGCCATTGAGCTGCTCTATTGAGCGCCATTTTCTTTAGATTTAAACATTTAGCAGTTAAATGCTTAAAAAAATAAAATCAATAAAGGTCTATTGAAAGTAGCCACCAAATTAAAGTAATTCTTTGAGCTCAATTTGCTTCTAAGAAGTGTCAGCACCACACTTGTATGTGTTAGCAATGTGTTAAATGAGAACTCTCTCGAGCAAACTTTTCTTACCCACTAGAAAAACGTCTTTTAGAAATTTGGCAGAATTGTTTTTAGTAGTTTTTCTTTACAGTTAAAAGGTTAAACAGTTAATACTTAAATAAATTACTTGCTCATCTTATATAAAAGACAGCTAAGGTTAATAGTGGGTAGAGAACAAAGGTACTAGACAATTTGAAATTGAACAAGAGAATTCATAAATACATCAAAATTATAACAGCACCCACTCAGTAGACTCAGCTCTATATTAGAAAAGCGACGAACTTGATACGGCTGAAAACGCCAAATCTTAAAGCATGCAAAATTAATTCTATATTTGGTCTAAAACGTGATCTTATACTGATCTTTGTCAACGTCTACGTTTCGTCTAGTACGTTTTTAAGCCCAGTAGTGTTGAATGTAAAATTATAATAAAGGATTTTATCAAAAATGTGTATAGTTTTCATTAAAAGTCTCTACCGACTACACCGTTTCATACCATGACCGTATTAGGAACGTGCCAGACAAAAAAATATTCTTTGTATAGAAAACTATGAGACGATGCTCAATAGACGGTTCCGACACCGACCAGCACCATCGCGTGCCATGCACGAACAGTTAAGAATTGTCGGGGAGAATATTTTGCCGGTGCCGATACGCTTCGCGCATAGCACGCGACGTTGCAAAACCGATGCGCGCAGGCAACAAAACGGTGACCATACGGGTTAGAACCGCGTATGATGACCATTATATAGGCGTCTTAAACGCCGGAAGTACTGAAAGAACTTTTCGACATCTTCAACCAAGTGCTTATACAACGTCCAAAATTCTGCTTCAGTTTTTCGTTCTTTTATAGAATCGTGAATCCAGTAGCGTTGAGTGGTTTTTTGATCCTGTTCTTCTTCCTCATCCAATATTATGGCAATAATTGCCAGTTGTCTAACAGTTAATCTTTTAATAGCAATACCTATGTTATTATTGTATTTAAAAGTTGATAGCACTCCGCAGACATCCATTCATTACCGATACACATGTAAGAATGAAACGGCTTATTATCGATTTTGGTGGAGACGTCATACAAGTCATACAAATTACGCAAAGGCAACGTATGGGTTGCACACCGGCAACATACGGGCATTATACGCCGTCGATCCGTTTCAGTGGGCATAGCAAGCCGTATCGTGTCACTTTCCGTGTTTGATACGGTCCTAGCACGTTCATGGTATGAAACGGTGTAGTCGGTAGAGACCTTAAAGTGTAAAGAATGCAAACAAATTTGTAGAAGATTTTATCAAAAGTGTGTTTAGTTTAGCTTTAGGTGTTGTTAATGTTTTTGGAGGAGACCTAATATGCTGTTAAGCGAAGTTGGGTTAGCAAAAGGGGTTTGTTTAAAATCAACTATGATACAATTCATTAATTCACGGTGGCATCTTTATGATAACAGGTATAATCGAGGTAAACTTTTCGCTATGGAGCCTTCCATCGCTATGTTTCCGTTTAATTTGTGAAACGTTACCATAGCATTTATTATTTTATGAAAACAATATTATATACAGAACCGATCATCCTTTACTTAAACAGTAATTCATCATCATCATTAGCCTATTAATGTCCCCACTGTTGGGGCACAGATCTTCCCTATGGATGGAATAGGGAGATTGGCCCAATACCCACCACGCGGACCCAGTGCGGATTGGCGGGTGCCAACGACTGCATCTGCAGCCGGGACCAACGGCTTAACGTGCTTTCCGGAACACAGATAGAAGATTTTTGGAGGTCACCCATCCAATGACCGACCACTGCGAAAGTTGCTTAATTTCAACGATCGCAGTCGAACACGCTAACCATCGAGCTCCTCGAAACAGTAATTAAAACGTTTTAATGGGACCACGGGAAACAGTTCTCCCTCATTGTTCTATAATGGGACAAAATCCTGGGACCACGTGAAAACAGAGCTTCGTGAGGGGTCCCTCGATCGACTCCTGAGAACTGTAACCTTGTTATTTATAATTTTAATATGTCAATTTAACCGTTAAGCAGACAAAAACATCTGCCTATGGTTAAAAAACAAGAATTACATTCAAATCTTGCAATAGGGATAATGACTAATTTTTTTTTATCAAAAAGTATGGGACACCTATTTTTACTTTTTTCACATAATATAAACATTGCAGAGATATATTGATTTGAAAAGTCGCATGACGTCACGTTTGAGTACACTTATAAGTGAAAATTCACTCAAAAGTGACGTCACGAGCCCCTACTCCCAAACTTTGACGCGCTATAACTTTGTCATTTTTTGGTTGATTGCCCAAAGAAAAAATACGTGTCCATTATTTTTTGATCATCTAACTGACGGACTTAATAGAATTTCGTTTACTGTACCCCGTCATCACCCCTATTGTTCGCGGTTTTCCTGTTTTGTTTAAAACAACACATTATAATCAAGGAATATACCTACTTAATTTTCTTGTCCTTTTCCTGTAAATTGTTTACTTATTACCTCTACTTTTAAACAAAAATAATGGATTAAATGCCTAAAGGCACTATATACCAGCCAAGCATCGGGCTTAAACAGAAATATTATAATAGGTAAAGCAAATTCGATTCATGGCCCAATCTCCCTATTCCATCCATAGGGAAGGCCTGTGCCCCAGCAGTGGGGACATTAATAGGCTGATGATGATGATGATGATGATGATGAAAGCAAATTAACGATCACGGAAAGCAAAATAAAACGTCGTGATATTTTTTCATTTTATCATGATTTTTTAAAGAGAGAAAGATTTTTTCATCCCACCACCTCGGAAAGTGTAATTTTGCGCTTCGAAATCTGGCTGGAAAATTCTATTTTATTCGCTTGAGCGGCAAAGTAGATTTGAATTTAGAACATCACATATAATGAGTACTCAATATAATTGTAAATTCAAAACGTCATTAAACCTATTTAATGTAACCTCTATGGTGCCAAATTTATGATTAGAACTTTTTAAATTGTGAAAAAATTTAAATTTGGAACCTTCTTGGTTTCTTTGTTTTATTTGCGTGCTTCGCGCCATTCTAGTTTTTCACGTTTTATTGCTTAAATATTTTGTCATTATAAATTGTTTTCTTTTTCATTTTGTCATTTCCTCGCTGAGGTGGGATGAAAAGTTACGTATTGCACTCGAGTGGAAAGATTTTTCACCTTGTGCTCGTTTGTTTCCCTCGCTGACGCTCAGGATTCTAATTTAGAATCACTCGCTGCGCTCGTGATTCAACTTTAGAATCCTTCGCTTGCTCGGTCATCCAAATCGAGCACGCGGTTAAAAAGGAACTTTCCACTCTTGTATAATAAATAACTATTATTAGCCAGTTGTTTACAATCATCCGCCTATTAATGTCTCCACTGCTGGGACACAGGTCTGCAGATGCAGCCGGGACCGTGGTAATGTGCCTTCGGAAGCACGGAGGAGCTCGAGATAGTAAACTTTTGGTCACCCATCCAATGACCGACCACTGCGAAAGTTGCTTAACTTCAACAATCGCAGCCGAACGCGCTAAGGACTTGCGCCATCGAGCTCCTCTGTTCTCGACTCTGTTTACAATATTGCATAATAAATAAGGTATGGAATACAAAGAGAAGAAAGGCCAACTAGGTCCCCACCTCGGCATAAGTTTTTGACTTATGCTACAATGAATATAAATAGTGAGGTTGAAAATTATTATTTCTTGTATAAAAATTAGTATATAAAAGGAAACAGTAATTTTGAAACTGAGGAGCTCGATGTGGCGTATGGTTAGCGCGTTTGTTGAAGTTATGCAACTTTCGCAGTGGTCGGTCACTGGATGGGTGACCAAAACTTTACTACCTTGAGTTCCTACGTGCTTCAGAAGGCACCTTAAGCCGTTGGTCCCAGCTGCATCTGCAGACGTTAGCACCTACCAAACCACGCTGGGCCCACGTGGTGGGTCATAGCCCAAGCTTGCTATTCCATCCATACGGAAGGCGTGTGCCCCAGCAGTGGCGGCATTAATAGGCTGATGATGATGATTAAATAAATAAATATTTCCAACACACACCAATTAGCCTAGCCCCAAAGTAAGCACTACAAGGCTTGTGTTAAGGGATACTAGGGTAACGGATAGAATACATATATTGTACATATATATAAGTATACTAGCTGACCCAGCGAACTTCGTACCGCCCTAAAAAAATAGGGGTTGTCCAGCGGACAAAATTGTGAATCTAAACCATTCTCAGATCCCCTTGAACACACACAAAAAATTTCATCAAAATCGGTCAAGTCGTTTAAGAGAAGTTCAGTGACATACACACTCACAGAAGAATTATATATATAAAGATTTATATGAAAAATACATATTAAACATCCATGACTGGAGTACAAATGCTCGTATTCATCACACAAACATCTGCCCCCACCGGGATTTGAACACAGGACCTCTCGAGTCGGCGACACCATGAAACCCGGCGTACAAACCACTCGGTCACGGAGGTCGTCATGAATTTAAACATTTTTTTTATGTTATAGGGGGCATACGAGCAGACGGCTCACCGAATGGTAAGTGATCACCGTCGCCCATGGACACTTGCAACACCAGGAGTATCACAAATGCAATGCCGGCCTTTAAGGAAGGAGTACGCTCTTTTTTAAACATTAACTGGAAAGAATTTTAGAAGGAGGGACATACTGTTATAGTTCCCGATGAAGGAGATGCCGATGGAGCGACTGTTGTAGCCGCGGGTGTGCGCGCCGACGTGGAGCCATCCTACACCTTCGTAGATCTTCCCGTTGCCACCCACGTAGAAACTGCAACAGGGAATCTCACATAAGCAAAGTTACAGATTACATCCTTGCAACATCGCAGAACTGTTAGAGATCAATTATTTCTTTACAAACTTATTAATGACCTTGTAGATTCGCCGTTCCTTTTGCAGAGGATTGGTTTCCGTTGTCCAAATAGAACTAGGTCTGACAACACGTTTGTAATACAATTCAGCAGGACCAAGTTTGCTGCAAATAGTTTCATTTCTAGAGCATGTCACAGCTATAATAAATACTTCGGGGGATTGGATATATTTTGACTTTCTTACAATCAATTTAGAAATGAATGCTATAAGGTCGTTTTACCCTAACACTATTACACACTTAGTAATTATTTTCTTTTATTCACATGACTCTAAATATAGTACGTAATTCTAAGTAAATTATGTAAGTGTATGAATGCTTCAGTCTGTGGAAACTTAACTGGTTTATGAAAAAGTAATAAGTGTTACTTAATTGATGAATTGTGTAAAACTGTATGTTTCCCAAATGAAAATAAATAAATAAATAATGAGGTGTTCGCCTGTTGTGGATCCATCAGCGTATGTGTGACGGACAGCTCGAAATTTGAGCAAGTTTGACATTCACAAAAGTAAAAGCGACACAAAGGCGATTTCGTGATGATGATCGGTTTTTCCATCCGCGATAGATAGAATCAGAGGTAAGGATATCTTACTAAAAATTAAAGCTAATAAAATCTTAGAATTCTTTCTACACTACATTCAATCATTATTGATCCATGTGCTCCTGGATATTTGAAATGTAAATTTCAATATCTTGATAGTATCCATAATCTCAATCTTCGATCTAGCAGCAAACAAACTCTAGAACTCGAGGAAGCTATTCCCTCTCACCATACTGGTTTTTTTTCCAACTCATTTTCTCTTCAAGCTATACGACTCTGGAACGCACTGCCTCCTCATATTCAAGATGCTCCGAACAAACTAGCTTTTAGATGCTCCGTACGTCATCATTTATTAGATTCCTCCTCCACATCCTCCTGATATGATATAGATTTGTATGTATATATCTAAATATCTAATATTATGTTTAAATAAATATTCTATTATTGAAGTTATACTTCTTTAGGCGCGTTATGAAAAAATGATGAGAGTGATATTTTAAGATGCGCGCGCATCACTGTAACACAAAATATTAACAGCATGAAGTTGGTCGCTTTAGCGACCAACTTCATGCTGTTACTTTTGTGTTTACCGCACATTAAGAAAATCTACCTAACGACTGCATTGTGAAGGCCTATCAAAAGTATTTATTAATCTGGAACAACGGAACCAAAGCGCGATTCAGGAGACTACAGCGCCATCTCTTGACCATTGGTGTAGTAGAACCAAAAACCACATCTTTATTTTTTGTAATAAAGTAACAGTTATAGGTATTCATATTTATAATATTTATCCACATGTTTCTAGTTTGTATATTCGGAATACGTGTTTGAGTTTCATACAAGTGCAAATCACATATGCTCTAATAAATTATATTCAGTAGCGATTTTAATTGAATATTTTGATTATTTATTTATTTTTTCAAATTAAAACTGAACTTTATTGACTGTGTCCTTTTCCAGACTTTTTATTAATTTATTGTAATTAATTAATTGCATGCAATTAAAAACTAATTTTAAACGATGCCAAAGAAGGATAACTTCTCAGGCGCCTACATAAGTACACGCACCCATTTTTATTTATGTATGTTTATAGATATGTATTTTGAATGCTTAATGGCATTAAGACCGCCACTTGTGCACTCATTTGTGCAATAAAGTATAAATAAATAAAGTAATAAATATTACTCGAAGTATTGATTTGCTGAAGTGTTTAGTGGGCGGGATACGTAGCGAAGAGAACCGATGGCAGAAGGCTCTCGAATGTCGATCGCGCACCGGACGACGCCCAGTGGACCTCCACCAGGTGGAGCGAAGATCTAGTGAAAATCGCAAGAACCCGCTGGATGTGGATAGTACAGGACCGATTGGTGTAAAGATGTTCGGACAAAGTCTATTGCTCAGCCGTAAGTGGCATACGGCTGATATGATGATGACCTCTTACATAGAATATTAGCGGCCCGCCCTCGCTTCGCTTCGGTGTAGAGCTGAAGTGTAGACTACAGTTTTTGTTCTCAGGCTTGTATTATACACAATGACATTCATCTATGATTCTTCTTATACCTGCATGCAAAGTCTCAGCCCGATCGGTTTAAAATTGAAAAAGTTTCATACAAACTTTCATTCCCTATTTTATCTCCTTGGGGGTAGAATTGATCAAAATCCTTTCTTAGCGGATGTCTACGTCATAACATCTACCTGCATGCCAAATTTCAGCCCGATCCGACCAGTGGTTTGGGCTGTGCGTTGATAGATCACTATGTCAGTCAGTCACCTTTGAATCTCTTATCTATTAGACAAGTCTGTCCGTCTGTCTGTGGTGCTGTTTCAGCGACCAAACCGTAAGAGATAGATAAAGAGAATATTTAAGTTATAAATTAAGAATAGTCTGATAAGACTACAAACCGGATTTGAGTAACGTAGCACTTCCGGTTTTCGAGAAATCAGGTTTTGGTGAACATTTGGTTCACTGGTTTGCTAGTTTTATATATATAGATTAGGACTTACTTGCTGCCAATGTCCCATAAGTTCAGCTGTTCCATGTGGTAGGTCTGTATGTTCTGGACGATCTGTGCACAGCGCGCATCCGTGGTGCAGGGCTGGGTCACCGTATGCTGTATAATTACCAGGTCCACAGGCCTTGGCAGGTAGTTGACTTTCACGGCGTCCAGCCCATCCCACTCCTTCTTACTCACCACGTCGCATTCTAAAACATTAATTGAGAGATACTTTTTTATAAAGGTTGGCAGCCAATACCTTTAAAGAGAGATGCAAGGAGCTAGCATCTCAGAGGCGAGCGGCGGTTATGGGTGACCAGTACTACCAAATAGGCAAATCAAAATCTTCAATGAATGAAACAAAGCGCGCGAACAAGAGGTATTTTATATATATATTTTTTAAAGCATGTAACTGCTTGATGTTTAAATCTAAAGAAAATATACGGGACGGGACTCGAACCCGCACCCTTCGCAATCCGGGCGAATGCACTGACCAATTATGCTACCGCATTATAGGTAAGCCACAATGTGAAATGAATACTTTTACGAACGAAGAAGAAATAGCAATTATAGTTATATTTTTTTATTTATTTTTAAAGCATGTAACTGCTGGATGTTTAAATGTAAAGAAAATATAACTAGAAAAAAAAGCGCTGCCTTGCAGCATAAGAATGGCTAGAAGAATTTCGACGCGGTCCGTGAGGGCCGCGGTAGCATAATTGGTCAGTGCATTCGCCCGGATTGCGAAGGGTGCGGGTTCGAGTCCCGTCTGCTGCCTGGTCCGCGTGGAATTTTTTCTAGTTATATTTTCTTAAGAGGTATTTTACTATCAGATGACCCTAGAAGGTAATTCGTAATTTGCTCCATGATATATATATAAATATTTAAAACATTAAAGTTCTATATTTAGGCAATATATTAATGATTGGTCACCCGACGGTTGTCTCTTGTACTCTTTGTCAAATGCGGCAATAATTACTACACCAAAGTCGACGTTACACGAGCCTTCACCGAACCAGTCTCACTGACAGTTGTGTATGAGGTGTACGTACCGAATGTTTTATCTTTGGTGTTCATCGAAGTAAAATGCCAGTTTTACTTAGTGAAATAATACAACAATAAATAACAAGGACGCTGGAATCACATATCACCAATAAGTACGCTATAGTTTAGAAATTTCAATTGTCTACCAAATGTTGTGGCTAGATTATAAAGTGACGAGACAATTTCCATTTTGCCTTCGGCATAGATTATTAAAACTACATTATATCAAAATTTGATAGTAAAAGAGGTGACACTATTTAAAAGTAATTTATTTTATTTATTTATTTATTTAATTCTAGACCAAAATCCACAGCATTTTCTTAATATAATACAGGTTTTACAATATAGTTTATCTTAATGCCAATTACGGATTTTCATTTTTTAGTTATAGCATAATAGTTTAGAAAACCCTCTACCAAACAAGGGCGAGATGTGTGCAATGCGCGCGCGCATTCTATGTGTGTGTGTGTGTGTGTGTGTGTGTGTGTGGGTGGGTGCTTGTGTGCGTGTGTGTGTGTGTGTGTGTGTATATGTATGCATGTGTGTTTCATTTTTGTTTGTATATTACCAATCAACCGACAGCCCTAAAAGTGTTTTTAAAAGATGCTTTACTTTTGCAATTAAATATGTCAACAGCCATGAAATTTTTATTTTATGTGCTTTGCGATCTAATAATGTAATATTTAAAAAATACGGACATTTCACCGCATTTTTATCATACTTTTAGAGGTTAGTGATTTATTTGTTGATTGCTTTTATATCATCAAATGAGCCAAACGTAGATGAAATCCATCGAAAGAAAACAGATTGTATTAAAAGGCCATTATGCTACCGCGGCCCTGATGGCCGTGTCGAATTCTTTCTAGCCTTTCTTAAGCTGCAAGACAGCGCCACCTCTTAACATTGTAGGTAACCCACAATGTCAAATGAATAAATACCTTTACAAGTATTAAACATTTGAAAGGACTTTTTGGCGGGATCGGAAAGCGTCAGTTTAGCAGTTTTGTTTTTCTTGTTAAACATTGTGTTGTGGCGGATGTTAATGTCTAATAATGGTGGATTATTAACCACTAAGTGTTCGAGAACATGCACAAGTGTTGGCAAGTGAAACAAATAGTGGAAAATGTCTTTCGACGCTCCCTCAAGAAGTCCACGGGGAGGTTCCAGTAAATCCCCACACATTTACTGAAACACAGGGAAAGGGGGATTGACTTGACTGCCACTTACTTTGACTTGATATAATACTTTGACCACGAGTGCTATAGAATTTGTAAACATTTTTTACACTTGACATTGGCTAAATGAACAAGCCGTGCAAAGCCATTGCGGAAAAAAAAGTAAAAAAACACAAACAGTAAAGAAGAAATAGCATATAAAATTTATAACTATACTATAGGTATACTATCTCTCTTAGAGATAAGCCCTCCTTTGCTCACATATTTATATTTTGTATCTTACAATTTTTGTGTGCAATAAAGAGTATAATAGGTACACGCAAAGTCAAATAAAAAAAAACAAACGAGTTCTTGGCAGTTCAAACCGATTGATCTATGAATGTGCAAAATTTTCCTCATTATTATAACAAAGACTTTTTTAACATTCACAGTTAGGCACTGGTGTTTGTACAAGCCCAATGTTAGGTAACAAAAAACTTAGTATGCTTACATCGTCCTTATTGACACTCAACTTAAAATTTCCTCCTGTAGTACCTGTAGGCCTCATTTTAAAAAAATATTCAATACTGACATCAACATCAATTTACATCCTTGAATCATGCAAGTTTCTAAGGAAATATGAATATTTATTCTCACCTGTAATATCTAAAAAGGAAAACCGCTTTTAAAAAACATTTTGATCTGTATAACTTGAAAATTGGTGAGACAAGTCCCCATTCAATGACAATCAAGATATATAACCATATACCCAATAGAATAAGGCAGATACAGGAAACTAAACGATTTAATGGATGTTTAAAGAAGTTTCTAAGTGAAAAATGTTTTTACAGTCTAGACGAATACTTTAAAGATAAATATATTTAGATTTTTAATATAATATATAAAAGACATTTAATTTTCATGTTAATATTATTTTTATTATGTACTTTTTTTTTAATGAAATTAAATTTTAGTCTAATAATGATCGACATTTTAAATTTACTTTTATATTGTATGTATTGACTTGTTATTTACGAGATATATTTTAATGAAATGAAATTTTAATTTAATATTTGACATGTGAATTGTTGTTTTGTTTGAATTAATCTAATCATTAATATACAATTAAAAATAATTTTTACATTGCATGCTACCATAAAATTGCTATGCCCTTGCGGGGCGTCACATGTTTTGTACCTCAAATACCTTTTGTACCTCAAATATACCTTGTGATATGCAATAAAGTTTATTATTAATATTATTACAGCTTTTAACGGGATTGTTACCATGTACCTTGTTTTTTATGAGTCTCCGATATTTCGGCACTGTTGCAAGCGCCATGATCACGGAATTACTCCGTGATGGAGTCTGTGAGTTACTCCCAACGTTTTTCAAGCAAATAGCTTTTAGAGAAGGAAGGGGGCATACACGAACAAAAATTAGCATTATTAAAGTTCAATATTTCGCAAACGGATCCCTAAATCGAGAAATGGTCTTAAGAACCCCTGAGTATTTATTAAGGATCTATTCAACGATATCCCACACGATGGGGTAGTTGATGAAAAAAAAAAGAGCAATGCAATTCAATTCAATTCAATTTATTGCACTCATGTGGTTATATAGATGGTTACAAGTTACAAAATGCATAAAGTACCTAACATGAACCCTGTCAGGGTATCGCAATATAGATAAAAAATACAAAAGAGAATTTAACAAATAAACAATTATCAATATATGAAGAACCTAATTTTTATTAAACAACTTTTTCTCTCAAAGCATGCATAAATGTCATCTGATTTCATTAATTTTATAACTCACTCAATTGATCTTATTTACGGTACTAGTTTAATTTTGTAATTATTATTATGGGAACTCGTTTATAAAGTTAAATATCATTAATCATTTCAAGATTGCATGTCGGGGAGCTACCCTTAAAAAATATTTTTCTTTTGATTCATCATCATCATCAGCCTATTAATGTCCCCACTGCTGGGGCACAGGCCTTCCCTATGGATGGAATAGGGAGATTGGGCCATGGCCCACCACGCGGACCCAGTGCGGATTGGCGGGTGTTAACGACTGCAGATGCAGCCGGGACCAACGACTTAACGTGCCTTCCGAAGCACGGAGGAACTCGAGATAGAAGATTTTTGGTCACCCATCCAATGACCGACCACTGCGAAGGTTGCTTAACTTCAACGATCGCAGCCGAACGCGCTAACCGCCTGCGCCATCGAGCTCATCAATCCTTTCTTTTGATTACGGAACTCTAATATGAAGCAAAATTTAAAGGTACACCTAATTTATGTCGAAATAATTTTGATGTTCGCATCTTTATCGTCACAATTTTTCTATCATACTTAATTTGTATACCTCATATTAACTTTTTAGCTATTATTTTTAAGAAGAAAATCGGTCTCACTCACTGAACCTAAAATCGATCTAGTGGTTATAAAGTTAAATAAAATAGTAATAAATAAAACGGTGATATAGACAGACATTCGCATTTATAATAAATATAAGCTTTATTTTCAACATAATTATAAATTTCCAGTACATAATTAATAGTAACTCACCCATCCTATCAACTATCGTACTTTTTAGTAAGAGTCGAGTCAATAAACAACTTACTTAATTTAGTTCATCAAAAACTGAGTTAACCAAAAAGTACTACATAAAATAATATACATTCAATTATACTAAACCCAGTATATTACATAGTTTATAAATAATAATTATTTACTATTTGTTTCTTAGGTTTTTATACACACCACTCATACAAAAATAAAACAAGTTTCTACATCAATCAGTGCATCTACACCGTTGAAACAATAGGCGTGATGACGGGGTACAGTAAACGAAATTCTATATAGTCCGTCAGTTAGATGATCAAAGAATAATGGACACGTATTTTTTCTTTGGGCAATCAACCAAAAAATGACAAAGTTATAGCGCGTCAAAGTTTTGGAGTAGGGGCTCGTGACCTTCACTTTTAAATAAAAATTGTACCAAAACGTGACGTCATGCGACTTTTCAAATCAATATATCTCTGCAATGTTTATATTATGTGAAAAAAGAAAAAATACGTGTCAAAAAATTAGTCATCATCCCTATTGTTTTAATTAATTATGAACTTTTCAATAATACTAAAAACAGTATTTAATAGAAGCATTATACCAAAAACTGAATTAACCACTTACCTCCGTTTGTGCAGTTGAATAAACACGCGAGAACAGCAACAGCAATTATGATCTGTTTTGAACACATCTTGTTACAAAAGAGACTTGTACGTCTCAGAACGGCTGGTTCAAAAATAATGCTCATTCCGACTCAGGGAAATAACCTTAAACTCTTTGTGCTCATTCCGTCCTACTCATTCATTACAATGCGTGTAAGAGACGCAAGCAAAATTGCAAATTAATGTCTGATATGGACAAGAATTCCCCGTTTCCAACTAGATAACTACAGCATAAATATATGTAAATATATAGTTTATCGTTTCATTTTAGTTTTGACTCGTATGACCACGCATACTTTGAATAAACAAAGTGATGGATGATATGTTTAGCCTTACGTCATCCACAGTTGATGTATGTTGTTGATGTTAATAAAATTTATGTGGACTGTAATCAAACCTTGATCACAGAATATTTGACAGGGCTAAAGCTAATAAAAGCTTCGTTTTAAATACAATTATTTTGCGACAAAGCGAACAGTTATAAACTGTTTTCCCCGTAAAAAATTCTTCCGCCATCTTTTAATGAAGTTATTGATTAATTTTATCTGTATTGATCAACTCATTTTGAAGTAAAATTTTGAAACTTAACATAAAACCTTTTTTTTAATACAAGCTTTTATTACTTGTCAATAAGAAAAACTAAATAGTTACAAATAACTTTAATATTTGAAATAAAAGACTACTTTATAGGCGCCCACGCTGTATTGTAGATAGACAATAGTTTTTGTTCTCAGGCTTGTATTATACACAATGCATTTCTTTATATAATTATAAAGTGAGTTAGGATGATTGTATGAGGAGCTCGATGGCGCAGGTGGTTAGCGGTTCGGCTGCAATGGTTGAAGTTAAGCAACTTTCGCATTGTTCGGTCATTGGATGGGTGACCAAAAACATCTATCTCGAATTCCTCCGTGATTCGGAAGGCACGTTAAGCCGTTTGTCCCGGCTGCATCTGCAGTCGTTAGCACCCGCCAACCCGCACTGGGCCCGCGTGGTGGGTCATGGCCCAGTCTCCCTATTCTATCCATAGGCAAGGCCTGTGTCCCAGCAGTGGGGACATTAATAGGCCGATGATGATATAATTATAAACCTTCCATGAAAATTTATTTAACTGTTAGTGAAAATTTTGTTGCGTACTTTAGGACCCGGTGTACCGAATGCAACATTTTTTGGTTGAACGCACAAATCTCAGAAACTAATAGTTCGATTTGAAAAAATCTATTTGTGTTACATACTGCATTTATTGAGGAAGGCTTTAGGCTATATGACATCACGCTGCGACCACTAGGAGCGGATCATCGATGTAAAATATTGCAAAAACGGGTAAAAATATTCCATTTGTGATATTCCGTTGCATGCGCTGCGTAAATGATTAAAGTTACATAAAAAACAAGTATGGCGGAATTGTTCCCCTATAAAAGATCCATAAAAAACTCCGCTTTCTTTTAAGTTTCACTCACTATAACCTTTTTCCTCAAATTAACGCGGGAGAAACCGCAGGCAACCTTCAGTTGTGATATAACTATAATAGTTAGACTTATAGTATCCGGGACTTTTTTGTAGATATTGATGTGCATTATAAAACTTTAGTACATTACTTTGCTCTACTGTCAAAGACTTCCGCAGAGTAAGCGATATAAGGTTATTTTTAGGTAATTTTTCACAGCCTATTTTTAACCTTATTTTGTTTTTTTGAAAAAACTCTACAGCCTATGTTCTTCAGGGATAATGTAGGATTCTAAACGTGAAAGATTTTTTCAAATCGGTCCAGTAGTTTCGGAGCCTATTCAATACAAACAAACAATCAAATTTTTCCTCTTTATAATTTTAGTTTAAATGATATCCCATTTTTTTAATAAAAGCGCGTTGCTTTCATTAAATAAAACCTTTTTAAAAGCAAGCTTTTATTTAAATGCGCTAAAAAGAAAAAAAAAACTTTTATACTAAAACTTTTACTGTAAACTTATAACGTCATTTCAAATTTAACACATTTGACACAATTTATGTTATAAAAGCTTGCCGCGAGATTTAAGTACTCGTATTATTTTACTTGCTACCTATTAAATATTTAAAATGGTAAATTGTTTGTAAATTTTTAGTTCTTTCCATTAACAAGTAATAAAAACACGCTTTGTTTGAAAAAATGATTTTATGTTAATCTTTATTGTTAGCTTTTTAGTAAGTATACTAACTTGTTTATACACTTTCATACCATTCTACCCTCGGTACGTCCTCACCTGGCATTGGGTCATTCATCCAATCAAATCTATTTTATACTAGCGGCCCGCCCTCGCTTCGCTTCGGTGTAGAGCTGAAGTGTAGACTACTGTTTTTGTTCTCAGACTTGTATTTATACACAATGACATTCATCTATGATTCTTCTTATACCTGCATGCAAAGTCTCATTCCGATCGGTTTAAAATTGACAAAGATTCATACAAACTCTCATTCCCTATTTTATCCCCTTGGGGGTAGAATTGATCAAAATCCTTTCCATAACATCTACCTGCATGCCAAATTTCAGCCCGATCCGTCCAGTGGTTTGGGCTGTGCGTTGATAGATCACTATGTCAGTCAGTCACCTTTGAGTTTTATATATATAGACTAGCAAACCCGGCGAACTCCGTTTCGCCACCAGATGGCTTCGTTTTATGTAACATTTCGTTTGGTGATTAAAAGAAGTTTTTTTTTTTAATTTTTCCTGAATTTTCTTTGCTATAAACCTCACGGAGCCCGAGACCTTTCCAACGAATGCAAAACCGTGGAAATCGGTTCGTGCGTTCTGGAGTTATAGCGTTAGGAAGGAAAACCCGACTTATTTTTATGTAGTAGATGACATTCATCTATGATTCTTCTTATACCTGCATGCAAAGTCTCATCCCGATCGGTTTAAAATTGACAAAGATTCATACAAACTCTCATTCCCTATTTTATCCCCTTGGGGGTAGAATTGATCAAAATCCTTTCCATAACATCTACCTGCATGCCAAATTTCAGCCCGATCCGTCCAGTGGTTTGGGCTGTGCGTTGATAGATCACTATGTCAGTCGGTCACCTTTGAGTTTTATATATATAGATTCATAACAAACGGGACGAACTTACTATCCTAAATCTAATAGGGTTGTATATGGATGTTCTAGAGAACATAAGTCATAAGTCCTAGAGGACCTAAGTGCAAGTGTAAAAATAATATCAATTTGTATACCAAACACAGAAACGTGTATAATTTTAACACAAGGAATAGAAACAAGCTTGCATTGCCACCCTACAGGTTACAGAAGGTTTACCGATCTTTTATGGGTCAAGGTATACATTTTTATAATAAAATTCCTGATGCTATTCTTGAGTTACCCATAAATGAGATCAAATGTCACATTAAAAGTTGTTTACTTAAGAAAGGCTATTATACTATTAAAGAATATTTGAATGACAAAACTGCATGGCTGTAACTGTAAATTTGATTTGTATTTGTTTGCAGTGTCGTACAGATAAATTACCTTCATTCTAAGTAAATATTTTGCAGTTTGGTTTGAGTAGTTATGGGTAGTCATGCTCTCTTAAAAATCTCTTTGACGGTGTCGTGTGAGGCGGGTCGTTGCGTTCCCTAAAATATGGTTGAGCGAAGCGATGGCTAGTTCATGCGTCATGCTCGTGAACGGGTGCTGCCAGCGGAGATAAGTCTGCTCTATACTACTTTATTATTATAATGACAATCGATTATTTAATTTAAATTGCACAATTTCTATTTGATGATAAAGATTTAATGGTGGTGTGAATTCTGGCATGGTTCTCTAGACCTGAACTTTGGTTTTGGAGCGGTGTATCCTTGTCATTCTCTATACAGAGTGAAAGGGGGGCACTGATGTTGAGTTAGGTTTTGGGTTTGGAGAGTAGTGCCACAGTGGACACTGTGTTTAGGTAATCACATGCATGTGTCCTACAGTTGTGTGTTATAGTTTTTTATAATAATTTAAACAGGTACTTATTTTTTCCCTATTTTGTAACATAGTATCCGTGTGGTTATGAGTAGTCATGCTCTCTTAAAAATCTCTTCGGCGGTGTCGTGTGAGGCGGGTCTTATGTTTCCTAAAAAATGGTTCAGCGAAGCGATGGCTGGTTCATGCGTCATGCTCGTGAACGGGTGCTGTCAGCAGAGATGACTCTGCTCTTGCTACATTGGGTACTATTAATCGTTGTATTTTACTTTAATCGTACATTTGTTTTTATGCCTAAACAGTAGGACACGGCATTCTTAAACTTTTTTTAAATCAGTTTTTTATATTTTTTATTTTTTAGTCATAATTGTTATATCATTTACATTTGTAATGGCAAGTGAATTCATGAGTTATCTCATATTGAAGTAATTTTTCAATTTGACGACTCTGTATATAATACAGGGAGAAAAAACAGCCCTTGCTGAGTTTCTTGCCGGTTCTTCTCAGTACAAGGTCTCCCGCCGTAGATTTACGAACAGATGGCGTAGCTTTTCGACATTCACAATTGCTTGTAACAGCCTAGACTGAATAAACGATATTGATTTTTGATTTTTTGTGCTCGTCAAGACCAACCAAACGAGGCCAGATTCGATAGGATTTGTCCGTTTTATTTCGAATTGCTCTCAGCTCCGTCATCAGACCAACTCCATGTCATCATAATATTGCATTGTCACTCGATATACGTAAGCCTGCACAATTACAACTCAATCGGAAACCGGAAAGTGTGTCAAAGGACAATGGGCAAAACACACCCAGCTCCGCCAACAATGTCATCATTATGAATCGATAGATCTATGAAAAACTAGCCTTTTTTCTAAGAAAACCGTAAAAAAATAGTAAAAAGTGATTGTGCGCTCCCTGTCACTTGATTGATTTTTATGTAACACGCTTTGAAGATTGGAACACAATTATCGGTTTTGTCAATTAGTATGGATGAACTGGAATCATGTTTTCTCCGAAGCGTGGACGACTTTGTGTGATTTGTGGTCGCTCCGTTTTACATAGAAGACAATTTACTATAACGAACAGAATGTTTGAAAAAACTCCAACCCAAGCGGGGATTTTTGGATTTACTCTAGCGCGGCAGAATA